TTTCATATATTTATATATATGTATATATGAAAAATATGTCAAAATGCATGTGGGTACTCAAATAAAAGCTCTTGATGATTGTAACGTCGGGATGAGCTTATATCTTTAAAAATGTCAATAGTTAAAAAATTACATTGTACTTTGTCAATTTATGATATTTTTAAAGATATAAGCTCATTCCGATGTTACACTCATCAAGAGCTTTCATTTGAGTACCTACATGAATTTTTGATATATTTTTCATATATACATATATATAATATATAAAATATATATAAATATATGAAAAATTGATGTGGGTACTCAAATGAAAGGTCTCGATGAGTGTAACATCGGAATGAGCTTATATCTTTAAAAATGTCAATAGTTCACAAGATACAAGGTCATATCTTAATTACATAAATAAATTAAATTTTATTTCGACAATAACAAATAAAATTAAAAATATATATTTTTTTTTATAGATTGCTGCGCAAATTTGTCGTCAAGCCGGTCTTGTAAAAACTCCTGGCAAGTCAGTATTAGATTCTCACGAAGATAACTTCGCCATTGTCTTCGCAGCTATGGGAGTAAACATGGAAACAGCTCGTTTCTTCAAGCAGGACTTCGAGGAGAACGGTTCTATGGAGAACGTGTGTCTGTTCTTGAATTTGGCCAACGATCCGACCATTGAACGTATTATTACACCACGTCTTGCCCTGACGGCTGCAGAATTCCTTGCCTACCAATGTGAGAAACACGTACTGGTCATCTTGACCGATATGTCATCTTACGCCGAAGCTTTGCGTGAAGTATCAGCTGCTCGTGAAGAAGTACCCGGACGTCGTGGTTTCCCCGGTTACATGTACACCGATTTGGCCACCATTTACGAGCGAGCTGGTCGTGTTGAGGGTCGTAATGGATCTATTACTCAGATTCCAATTCTTACTATGCCTAACGATGATATTACTCACCCGATTCCCGATCTTACTGGGTATATTACCGAAGGACAAATTTATGTAGATCGTCAATTACATAACAGGCAAATTTATCCACCTGTAAACGTATTGCCTTCACTTTCTCGTCTTATGAAGTCGGCTATTGGCGAGGGAATGACTCGTAAAGATCACTCTGATGTTTCTAACCAATTGGTAAGTTTTATTTATTTTTATTTTTTAAATAATTAATGGTCAAATTTTAACAATAATAATAATCACAATAATATGTGAACTATAAATAATTAAAATTTTGCTTTATTAAATAATGACTTTTATTAAATTGTACTGTACTTTCTTAAATATTGACATTTTTTAAGATATAAGCTCATCCCGATGTCATACTCATCAAGACCTTTCATTTGAGTACCCATATGCATTTTCGATATATTTTTCATATATACATATATGTAATATATATAAATATATGAAAAATTGATGTAGGTATTCAAACGAAAGGTCTCGATGAGTGTAATGTCGGGGAGAGCTTATATCATTAAAAATATCAATAGTTCTCAAAATATAAGGTCATTTCTTAAATATTGACATTTTTAAAGATATAAGCTCATCCTGATGTTACACTCATCAAGAGCTTTCATTTGGGTACCCACATGCATTTTGATATATTTTTCATATATTCATATATATAAATATATAAAATATATGAAAAATTGATGTGGCTACTCAAATGAAAGGTCTTGATAAGTCTAACATCAGGATGAGCTTATATCTTTAAAAATGTCAATAATTAAGAAATGACCTTGTATCTCGTGAACTATTGACATTTTTAAAGATATAAGCTCATCATAATGTTACACTTATCAAGAGCTTTCATTTGAGCACCCACATGCATTTTTGATATATTTTTCATATATACATATACGTAATATATATAAATATATAAAATATATGAAAAATTGATGTGGCTACTCAAATGAAAGGTCTTGACGAATATAACATCAGGGTGAGCTTATATCTTTAAAAAGGTTAATAGTTCACAAGATACAAGGTCATTTCTTAATTATGAATCTAGAGATAAAGCATTTTTCAATGCAGCCTAAATATTTATCATCATAAATTAACGATACCAAATTTAGCCATAAAACCCATTTTATCCTATAAATAAACTGGCTACAAAATTTTGCTTATTCCCTTAATAATATAAATAAGCTGAATTATTTAATATTATTATTATTATTAATATTATTGCAACTAATTTTTATTAAAAATTTGACCATTATTATTATTATTATTATTATTATTATTATAAAAATAATTAATTAAAAATTTTTTTATTTCAGTATGCTTGTTATGCTATTGGTAAAGATGTCCAAGCTATGAAAGCCGTCGTAGGAGAGGAAGCTCTTACACCCGACGATCTTCTTTACCTTGAATTCCTCTCGAAGTTTGAAAAGAATTTCATTTCCCAAGGAAACTACGAAAACCGAACAGTCTTCGAGTCACTCGATATCGGCTGGCAGCTATTGCGTATCTTCCCGAAAGAAATGCTTAAACGTATTCCAGCCAGTACCCTTGCTGAGTTCTACCCTCGAGACTCACGTCATTAATTTAATTTAATAAAAAAAAATGAAATAAAATTTAAAAAAAAAATAAATGTTAAATATATATCATTTAGATAATAATTAAAAATATATTAACGATGATTCGTGGTCCTATTAAAGTTTGCGTTATTATTTTTAAAATCGGAGGCTTGTAGAAATTGATATGAATCATCGGGCATGAATATATAATAATTAAATCCTGTACAGTTTTATAATCACAGGAGTGTCGGCAGACAATACGAGTAATCGGTAATTAATTACATCATAAATATATTAAAAGATTTTAGTGAAAGCGATACACTGTATTAAAATATTTATCGTTAAAATTCTGAAGGTTTATTCATGTAAATTGTAATATATAAATATATTGTTCAGTATTATCATAAGGATAAAATAGCAATTACGCTCCTTGGTGCATCTTACATTCCAGCGTAAAAATTTATTAAACTTCCCGAAGTTTTCAATAAATATCAATACCATTTATAATTTATAATCATTAAAAATTTAGCTGTGTAAAAAATATAAAATAAAATTTTTATGGATTAATGCACAATTTTAGGAGAGCTATTGATCCTTGTATGATAATGCTTTCCTACAAAATAAATTGTAAGCTAAGAAAGTAAGTAATTGATTTCTTCGTTATAAAGAAAGTTTTTTTTTTGAACTTAGAGCACTCTTTAATGCTTCGCATTGAGTCGTGTATTATAAATATATATTATGTATATTCAATTATGCATTATGTCAAGTATTCAGATTGATAATAATGTAATCTGCAAAAATAATATATTGCTAAAATGTAAAGATTTTTTTTTCATTTATTTGTCCTATGTCCTATTTTAAAATGATACTGAAGTTAGTTGACAATGGTCAATTTTTTTAATTTTAATTAAAAGAAAGTTTAAAAAATTTCCACTAATAATCTATATTATTAAATACTTATGATAATAAGTAGTTAGGCTGCATTCAAAAATGCTCTATCTCTAGATGCATAATTAAGAAATTACCTTTTATCTAGTGAAATATTGACATTTTTAAAGATATAAGCTCATCCCGATGTTACACTCATCAAGACCTTTCATTTGAGTATCCACATCAATTTTTTATTTATTTATATATATTACATATATGTATATATGACAAATATATCAAAAATGCATGTGGGTACTCAAATGAAAGCTCTTGATGAGTGTAACATTAGGATGAGCTTATATCTTTAAAAAGGTCTATAGTTAAATAAAGACATTGTATCTGGTCAACTAATGACATTTTTAAAGATATAAGCTCATCTCGATGTTACACTCATCAAGACCTTTCATTTGAATACCCACATCAATTTTTCATATATTTATATATTTTACATATATGTATATATGAAAAATATATCAAAAATGCATGTGGGCACTCAAATGAAAGCTTTTGAAGAGTGTAACCTCATGATGAGCTTATATTTTTAAAAACATCAATATTTAAGAAAGTACTGTGCATTTTAACAAAAATCATGATTTAATAAAGCAAAATTTTACTTATTTATAGTTCACACGTCCCGGCAGTCACATAGTGACTGCAAAGTTGCTAGTTTATTTCAATTTTCACATGAAGAATTTTTTTATTGAATTCTTTTTCATAATAATTTCATTGCTATAAAATATTAATAAATTTCTTATAGTTAATTTAAGTGTCATAATAAAAAAATACTACTTTTCACCAGAAATGTTAATTGAAAATAATTATTTTATAACTCACCTTGAATATTTTATATATCAGAGCACCCACAAAATATTGCAGTCTTATTAATGACATATATATCACTCAAGCACTTCACAAACATGTATCAGTCACAGTAAAGTTGATAAGCTTCACCAGTTCCAAAACATCGGAATTATTTAATTTTTTTGATGACGTTAAAAATACTACACGTCAATTTTTTTTCTAATTTCTCAGCCATAATTTATTTGTTAAAAATATTTTTAAAATCATGAAATACCTTCCAAACTAATTTTCATATTTTTTTGAAGACTAAAACAAACTCACTAGTGACTTAACAATTTTTATTGCAACCGTGTTCCGTAAAGAACCAATTATAATACAGTTATTTAAAAAGTTTCCTAAAATAGCCGACAGGTAGCGCTGCATCACTACTGAAGAAAGAAGAAATGGCCTACACATAAACTTCAACTTTGAAACTTTGACATCTAGGAAGTTATTGCAATAATTCCCAAAAATTGAATTATTAATTTAATTTATTCAAAAAGAACGAAGAACAACTTTATAAATAAACAATTGGCAGGAAATAAAAAGTATAACACTTTCCAAAATCACATGAAATGTTTTACAATTTTGGTTAATTGTGTTATGTGCTTTGTGAGCATCACAATGTATGTATATATATATATAATAATTTAATAATATATATATTGTATGTATATAATATAATATAATAATATATTTATTGCATTGCAGCCTATGCGCACACAAGAGTGTTATATTTCTATATCATACGTTATTTTTTTGTTGATTTTATTACAATTTTATCTTTTTTTTTATTTATTTTTTTTTTTTTTTACATATTTTAAAACTGATATTAGTTAAATCGAGAATATCTTAGTATAGGATAGGGTGGAATTGACGAAATTGGCGGCAAAAATTCCGTTTGATATGGTCAAACAATGTACAATTAACAAAGAGTTGTTTATGTTTGTTTAAAAATACTTTTTATAAGGCTAACACTTAATAGTTTTTTTTTATTTTCTATCCTATAATAAAATATTTTCAAATCAGCTGAGTCTTGTAAAATTTTTTTTATCTATAATATATATATTGTGTAAGTTATTTATGAAAAAGCTTTTAAAGTAAAACGCTTTATTGCTTTTTCATTAATATTTATGATTATTATATCGTTGATAAATTTACTTTAAGACAATGTTTTTTTTTTTAATTGGCGTTTTACAAGATTCAACTATACGCTGACAATAAAAATCCATTTTTTAATAATAATTATAATAATAAATTAAATTAATAATAATAATAATAATAATAATAATAATATAAGTAGCAAATGTCGCGTTACATTAATATTTCTTCTTTAAAAAAAAAATGAATAGATAATAATAGATTAAAATATTTAAATTTCATTTCTTCTCAAGCATTTTTTTTGTAAAAGTTTACAAGACGTGTACACATATAATACAATAAATTTAAATATATATAATATACATCATATAAAAAAGAACGCAACTAAATTTTGTAGGTACAAGGTAGAAAAAAAATGTAATTTGCTTAAAAAAACAGAAAAAAAAAATGAGACCTTTGCTTGAAAGACTAGTCTTCGAACTTTGGAGTAATAAATACAGAAAATAATAGTAATACAGCTTTACTTCGGATTAGTCAACTTTGTGATATAATTTATTGGATTAAAATAATTGAATAATTAAGAAAAAAATTTATTTATTAATTTATTAGAGTTAATTTCTTTTTTTTTTTTATTAAAATAAAATTGCAAGCTTATATCTTCAAAAATATTATAAGTAGACAAAATACAATATACTTTCTTAACTATTGACATTTTTAAAGAAATAAGCTCATCTTGATGTGACACTTATCAAGAGCTTCCATTTGAGTACCCACATGCATTTTTCATATATTTTATATATTTATATATATTATATATATTACATATATGTATATATGAAAAATATATCAAAAATGCATGTGGGTACTCAAATGAAAGCTCTTGATAAGTGTAACATTAGGATGAGCTTATATCTTTAAAAATGTCAATAATTAAGGAATGACCTTGTATCTCGTGAAATATTGTCATTTTTAAAGATATAAGCTCATCCCGATATTACACTCATCGAAACCTTTCATTTGAGTACCCACATCAATTTTTGATATATTTTATATATTTATATATATATATAAATATATGAAAAATATATCAAAAATGCATGTGGGTACTCAAATGAAAGCTCTTGATGAATGTTACATCAGAATGAGCTTATATCTTTAAAAACATCAATATTTAAGAAAGTACAGTGCATTTTAATAATAGTACTTAATTTAATAAAGCAAAATTTTGTTTATTTATAGTTCACAAGCACGGCAGTCACATAGTGACTGCAGGTTGCTAGAGAAAAAAAAATTTCTCACGAGTAGTACTTGTTTTTTTTAATGTATAGTTTTGTTTTTTTAAAATTTTTTTTTCAAGTTATTCAAGTATTTTAGTGACAGTATGTCGCAGAGTTGAGTAAAGCTGTGTTACCGCCCAGAAAAAATAAGGGTGGAAAAAAATGAAAGTGGTTTTAAATTAATCACATTGTTTGAGTAGACAATAATCGCCATTAATTTTTTTAATACACTTTTAAATATTTTAAATAGTACAACCTTTGAAAAAATAGGCTTTAAATAAGCTAAGATTTTTATTGATATATAATAACAGCAAACCTGAATTATAATGTAAGTCTAAATAATGCATTTTTAGCAGTGATAACACTGATTAGCATATAAAAAATATATTGGTATACACTCTTTTAATATTGCATTAGAGTTTTATAATTTTTATTCATTTTAATTCGTGTTGTACTATACTTAATGCAGAAGTAATTATTTAATAAGATTCATATTTTTTCTTTTATTTTTTTTATCCACTCGGAAGTATTTTTTTTTATTTTTATCCAGTTCGTTCATACGTTTAAAAATAAATTTCATAAATAAATAGTTGCTTATTGATTTTTTTTTAAAAGAGAAAAACTATCAATTTTTTTTTTTTTAATTAAAGTGTACGCAATAGCAACACTTAATTTTGCGAAAAATTTATAACAGTATACAATAGTATTTTTTAAAATAAATTTTAATTCTTACGAACAAAATAATACGTCGAAAAATTTTATCTTTTTTTTTTTTTAATATATTTATTACAATTAATAGTAATAATAGTAATTAGTTTTTCTCAAGAATAAAACACTTATTATTTTAAAAGTTTAAATGACTGTCATACATATACATTT